TCAGGAACCCAGAGTACTTCAGTTCTCAGATTTCTCCACTAGCCCCTAGCCCCTGTACACCCTATTTATGGATTTTTATTCTTATTTAAAGATTTTCTTTAGTTTTATAAAATAATAATAATAATAAATATAATAATAAATATAAGAGCATATTTGCACGGAGAGAAACGAAAATAATTTCCATACTTCTCTCTTTGGAATTAGAAGCAGTTAAGATTCTTCTCTTAGAGCTTTGGCAACAATATGAATCGCTTCATGACAGAAGCTGTATTTTGGTCAATCTTCTTTACTTTTTTTCACTTTGTTACCTTCTGATCTTGTTGGAATTTGTGGAGTCCTCGGATGGAACTTAGGAGACATCGTTGGTTCAAAATCATTTGGATTACCAAAACTCTTTAGAATTAACTCATTTTGAGAGACGAGGCAATCAATGTTGTCAATGGTGTTGATCGAGTCAAAACAATCATCTCTCAGTGTACAAGATTGTATTTTTCTTAAAATGCTTTGTAATTTCATATCGTTCTTTCGTAGTTTTATATTATTCTTTTGTAGCTTGATTTCCGTATAAAATCATCATTTGTCATAATTTGGAACAAGTTTAGTCATCCAGTCCACAACTTTAGGATTAGCTTATCATCTTTTTTTAATAAAAGTTAGAATATGAGTATAAAATTGTGATTTTATATGGAAATTATTGAACTATAAGTGATAATTATATGTGAAAATGATGAGTTACAAGAGAATAATTTGAAAACTTAAAAGAATTTTCATTTAAAAAAAAGATATTTTTTTCACTATAAAAGATGATTTTTTTGACTCAATCAATAACATTAATCACATAATATCTTGAAACGAAATAATTTTAGAGAATTTTGACAATTATAAAGATAATTTTGAGCTTATAATATCTCTTAAGTTTTGTCCTAGAATGTCTTTATACAATATAGAAGTGGGGTAAAAAAAAAAAAAGTCGAGATTGAGCAGAATACAGCTGCCTTTCAAGAACCCATTCATATTGCGGCCTAAGCTCTTAAAGAAGAATGGAAGATTTA